TTCTTTTTATTGACACTGTAATTAGTTAAATGCACAAATCGATTTGACAATGTCCTGTTTGATTGTGAGTATCTGCAGTACAACAATAAAAACAAAAATGGTACCATTATTTATAGACATGAGTAAACTAACTTTTTAGTAGCAAATCTAACCAGTCCATCGCGATACAGGTATATGGTTAATGGATCAATGCAGCTAACGTAAGCGTAAATCCTTAAATCAAACTTGCTGTCATTAATGAGAAATGGATCAGAGATGTACCTTCGTGTGTAGATTGTATGAGAGAAAGAAGTTTCAATATAATTTTTAATTATGAATTTGAGAGTTTTAAACTTCTAAATTTCATTACATGTACATGTGCTTTACTTTTGTACAATTAGTGGCCTTTTCTTTGGTATTTGCGACCACTTGTGTACTACTTGAATCCCAATGCCTCTTGCTGATGCAGGCTATGGTATACAATGAAGAGATAATGTATTACATTGTACTCTTTTTAAAGGCCTTTCTACACTTGAACTGGTTCCAGAAGTCATCAATGCACATTGAATGCACATCAAGTGATTCCACACTATCATCAGGATCATGTATATTTTTATAGCATTTCTGATCCAGCTGCCATTGGTTATCTATTGAATGCCATTCAAACCACATATGGAGGTAGTTTGGCGCCGAGCATCAGGTGTGGAATGACTGGAACCGGTTCCAAACCAGTTCAATGCGCATTAGAAGTGCTAGTGTAGAAAGGCTTTTATTTTTTTATTATATTAGGGTCTGCATGTACGTACTTAGAGTCTTAAAGTTTTAATTATTAAGAGTAGATATGTACATGTATTGGAATTCATTAAGTGTGTGGGTTGTGTTCTGACTGGTTTTATGATCCATTTTTGTCTGTGTGTTCCTTCCCACGTTCTCTTGAGAGACCTTGTATCACTTGGTAATACGAATGTCAACGGAACAAAATCATAATCCTAATATTAATGACAATACTGTTTTTTATTCACTGTACAATTAATGTACTGACCCTCTTCCCAAAATGTGCTTGCATTTTTGACAAGTTTCTCCACAATCTGTCCTTACGACCAATTTGAAAAGAACCAGGCAAGTGATTCACCTATTGCACAATGTACATGTAGTACAGCATTAACTCCCTCTCTCTCTCTCTCTCTCTCTCTCTCTCTCTCTCTCTCTCTCTCTCTTGCAGTGTACTTTTTGATGTGGTAATATTGTCTTGAAACCTTCTGATTTCATGTGTTTTCCCCAGTATCCGATCCATTCTGAGGCCTCTGTAATTAGTGGATTAATGTTCATTTTACATGTAATGAATGAATGAATATTATGCTTACTTGATGTGTATGTAAATCCAACTTTGTTTAAAGTATGCTTAATGACATTTGGTGTAATGGTGCTAGGCTTCCACTTCAGTAGTAACTTGTCTTTACTGGATAATTCCTCATCTAGAAAAACAATAATAATAACAATATTATTATTATTAGATTGCATTAATTACTGTAAATCTGAGTATTAATTAATTAGAAATTTAATTACTCAAACACAGCACCTGACAGATACAAGTTGACAACAACAAAGTGCAAGTTGACAACAAAGTGCAAGTTGACGGCAAAGTGCATTTAACGGAGTGCAAGTTTTAACGCCTGTAAGATGTAATGTACATATATTAGTACATGATACACTATACACTAACAATAATTATACTCACTAGATAGTGGAGTAGTTATACATGCACTGTATACTCAATACACTATACACTAGCATAAATACTTGTAGTTTGTGCAAGTTTTAGCGCCTGTAACATGTAATGTACATAAGTTTGTTGATATTAGTACATGATACACTAACAATATACTCACTAGCTAATGGACTAGTATACTCGTTATAATAACTATACACTAGAATAAATACTTGTAGTTTCCGTAGTAGTTGGCGTATTATCTTAGTATGTGGCAGATTGCGGCTATGCATCAACTTGTACCTGTCAACTTGTACCTGTCCGGTGCTGTAACTTACAATTTTCTTTTGGCAGTGGAAAGTGTATTGTCGGTTGACGGTTAGGGAAAAGACTGGGAGTAAGAGCTGGTGATACACCACCTTCCTTCTCTCCTGGATAACAGACTCTAGCTGGGATCATTGCACTGGTGCAGATTCCTCTTCTCTCACTATGAGGTGAGAGGTGATCATTAATTAATAATTGCCCACTATCTGTTTCATGGCTTTCTCCTCCTATGCTTTCTAATTCCCAGGTCCCACGTGACAAGAGTGATCCCTCTATTCCTATGCCATCTTCTCCTAGGTCTGACATTAGATCGTCTTCGTCTTCTAGCCATCCGCTGTCACTCTCTCCTTCCTCTTCCTCTTCCTCCTCTCCCTCGCTCAGGTCTTGGCTGTCTGATAGGCTAGTCTGCTCGCTTGATTTGCTTTCTGTATTCCATGTACACCCACTTAACCTACTATGCAGAGAGAGAAAGAGTGAGACAAAAACAAAGCAGAGTTGTACATAGGATTTTGGCATGGACAGGTTATTTTTTCAAGAATTGCTAGTAAAGAATTTTCCATTTTTATAAATTTTTCTGGTACATATACATGTTTTGACGTTGTGTAGCAAGTTTGAGCTGATTCCAATCAAAATTGGATTTTTTACAAATTTTTAAAGTTACTGTACATGTGCATGTCTACTATACTCTCACTTAGCATGCTTGTGGGAAACTCTTAGGTGAAGAGAACATGTACTGTACATGCACTCAGACTTTGATACTCACCAAGTAGCAGGATCAGAGCACGGTTTAGTGAGGGACTGGATTATGCTAGGCTCTAGTCGAGGCATTTCTAATAGTTTGCGGAAGTCTGGTCGAAGTGATGCTCTAGTGTTCCCTCTCATCTCATGCATGCTAGTACTTGTTCTGCTGCAACTGGAATAGCCACTGCTGGAGTGAGGTCTGTCTGCTATAGCTGGTCCTGATTCGTGTGATATTGAAGGCAATGGTCTCAATATCCCAGTGTTTGTTGACATGGAGGGTTTCTCCCATGATAGTGAAGCACCCAATAGCCCACCTCTCTCTTCTCCTTCCTTGCATCGGGGAGTACTACTCTCTCCTAATGAGAGTCTTTCACTGATCCTTCCTCCTTTACTCCATGGTTTGTTCTCAGTGATTAATGGCTTGTGACTCACAGTAGGCAGTGCTGATTGGAGGTACGAGTCTACAAAACTGCATTCCTGTGATCTTGGCTTCTTTGATGTTGATGATGAGGACTTTGAGGTCGAGACAGTTTGTTCCCTCAGTTGCTGCAGGCTTGTCATGAGTGTTTCTACATTGTAAGGAGTGAGGTACTTCTTGTGTGCTTGGCAGGACAGGTAGCTCTCTTTGAAAGCTTTGTTTCTCTTTAGTGGGTCTTGCATTATAAGCTCTAAGGATGCTTTATAGATAGTGCTAGATGAATCACACTCACGCCTTCACTGCAGTTGATTATCAGTTACCATAGAAACGTTAATTTTTAACTCTTTAGTTTCATAGATTACTAAGATTAAATGCCTGCTAAGATTACATTAATCCAAAAATTAATTTTATTTCCAATTTTTTGAAAAGGCCAATAGTGCAGGCATGGGCTATTATAGCAAGTAAATTTGTCCAGACTATCTAGAGAGAGAACTTTAATAGTAGACTATAGGGGATCATAAATGGGATTTCTTTATTGCATATAATTATGCAATTTTAAGTAACACACAACATTTGAACTTACTTGCATAACTTTATTTTTTATTTACAAAATAGCTATAAATCATAATACATGAACAACTATTGAGCATGATCAATCACAATATTAAATAACACCATAAATAATTATCATGGTTCATGGTTCTAGATTTTCATTAATATTTCCTGAATTATGCCTAAAAATGATAAAAGTCAATGTACATAGCTAAAATTTGACAAATTCTTAATTTTTTAGCTACCAGGCAGCAGGATTCCCCACAGCATGCTTCATGAAATGCATACATTACATTTGAGTAACTTTTAAAATCCGTAAAAAATCCAATTTTGATCAGAATCAGCTGAAACTTTCTACACAACATAAAAACATATATATGTATCAGAAAATATTATAAAAATGGAGGATTCTCTTCTAGTCATTTTTGATGAAATTTGGCCAACGACCCTGTACTATAGTACAGGGGCTTTGGCTCGATTTTTGAGTAACTTTAATAATTCGTAAAAAATCCAATTTTGATCGGAATCAGGTTAAACTTTCTACACAACATAAAAACATGTATATGTATCAGGAAGAATTATAAAAATGGAGAATTCTCTCCTAGTCATTTTTGGTGAATTTGGCCAAGGTCCCTGTACTATAGTACAGGGACTTTGGCCTGGTTTTTGAGTAACTTAAAAATTTATAAAATATTCTTAATTTTGATCAAAATCAGTTAAAACTTTCTATATAACATAAAAACATGTATGTGTATCAGAAAAAATTATAAAAATTGAGAATCCTCTCCTAGTCATTTTTTGGCAAAATTTGGCCAAAGACCCTTTTCTGAACAACTTGAAAATTCACTGGCAAAAAGCTGCATGAGGACTATGCTAAAATCTTGTGGGAAACCCTAACTACGAGTGCATCTACAAACTAGCCACAGGAGCTTTATTGTACAAGTATATAGTTTAGTTTATAAAAGCCAAGTCTATTTTTGACTGGTAGAATTAAAAGTGAAAAAAAACACCTTAGCCTGTTCTTCAGAATCTTCCAGATTAGTAACAGTGTACAATGCCTCCTCCTTATGTCCAGGACGCTAAAAGTAATAGAAATAATTCTTAGAGGAGTCCCAAATACCACATACTAATTTAGCTCCAGCAGTTGCATGCCTTGTGGCATCATCTAGTGTACGAAATATCCACTCTTTACCACATTTATCAAAAAACCCAACTCTCTCTAGCATAGCATAATTATTGCCTGCGAAGGTGAGAACAGAAAATAACGACAGAGCTTAGAAGCTAATAATTTATTACTACACACTTGTTAGAGCAGCAAACAACACTTGTATACCAAACTTGTCGAAGTCTAAAACAAGCTAAAAGATTACAATAACAACACAAGGAACTGAAGTCACTGATATTATTGACTTGCTGCATTGTTTTCACTCCCATGGCATCCATAAACCCGATTGACGAACAATCCAGTATTAATGTATGGACTTTACTATCATAATGATTATATACCACAAAATAAAATTTAAAAAACTCACTTGACAGGATGCGTAGGTGAATGAGGGCTCCAATTTCCTCTAGAGAATCAAAAAGTTTAAAAGTTAATACAAAATTTTAGGCATTCACATTATGTTATTACAAAAATTTTTAACATCTAAAACAAAAATTCATACACAATAATCATAGGTTAAAAAAATATTGCCACTTACCTCTTCTTTTTCAATATCTACCATAAAGAGATATGAAATGAATATTGTAAGAACTGATTGAACATACTTTATAAAACAATGCTTGAATGCAGCCAGGCTTATCGTCCGATGATGCTCTTCTATCAATGCCACACACAATATCTAAACGAGCTTGAAACACTTTACAATTGATAAAACACAACGGGGCTTGGAACCGATAAATGATAACATCAGGAAGTCTCGTAATCTGAAAAAGAACATCTTGTTGATGAGGAAGTATTTTTTAATAATTTTAGAGCCTAATTATTTTTATTTTTATTGTAGTAAAACGCATGATACTTGCAGCAGTAGATGCAATCATACAGTGTGAATAAATAAATTGACAGTAAATTTTCTTACCAATTCTTTGTTAGCTATATCATCATAGCTTTTAGGGTCAAGTTCTAATGATTTGGGTCTATCATTATAAAATGACACAAATAAATTCTAGAAAGGAGTTAGGATAAGCCTTACAGGACAATCTTAAAGAGTATAACAGCAAGAGAGAAACCAACACCAATACCTAGTCCTAGATCCACTCCTAATAGTACTGTTGCTGTAAAGACAACTAGCCATATGAACTGGAAAATAAAGAAATTAAAATGAAACCCAAACCAACTTCTCACCATATCTGACATTGATAGCTTGAAGTATCTCCAGACATCAACTATTTGAGAGAACATTCCATACAATGCTACCCATATTATAGAAGCTAAAACAGCCTAAAATGATATATTCACATACACTATAGCAGCAAAAATAGACAGTATATATCTTACATTAGGTAGCGGTTCAAATAAATGACCCAATGCCACTAACACCAAGAGCATGATACTTGATGAAATAAGACCAACTAACTATTATTATTATTATTATAAATGTATTTTAAAATATTGTATCAAATAGTTCCACTCTGCATTACTTGTGTTTTTCCGCCAGAGACAGATTGTACAGTTGATCTTGATAGACTGCCAGCAGTGTTAAGACAAGAAAAGAATGACCCAACCAAATTCATAGCACCGTAAGCTATAAACTCCTGCAATAGATGTGCATGTACATCAAATCTTAGAGAGACTTTCTTTACTTGATCGGGAGACACAGTATAATTGTGCTGCTTTGCAAAAACTTGCGCTAAAGATATCGAGACAGAAAAAGTGACAATAGATATGACGGCAGCATCTTGTATCAAAGGAATCATGTATGAGACAGTGGGAAGGCTAGGACTTGGTAGCCTAAAATTGAATCAATGCAATACTCACGATGTGTGGTTCTTTTCTTACCCTAGTGGGACCTCCTCGATAATGTTAACATCAAATTTGTGACTAAAACTAGCCGCATATGAGATAATAGCACCGACAACAACCTTTAGTAAAATGTAATAACACACAGCACTCAGTTATGCAATTTTGTATCCTTATAGTTTTGATAACAATTTCAGAAAAAATATTTCAACTTACGACAATTAATTGTGAAGGTAATGGCACCGGCCACTTGAATTTATCTTTATTTTTGAAACAGCCTTTCCTCTGTGATGAATAAGACCAGCATTGTATCTTTAGCTTACGAATAACTTTACGGTCAACAATACGAAATATAATAAGAGTGATGATGGTAACAATAGAGATTAGTAGGGTAGCAATATTAGTGGTCGGCAATGATTTAAATACTTCCACCCATATCTAAAGAAAATATAACAATAAATCAATCAGTTTTATACGACTGTACACGATTAATGGGTTTAAGCCTCAGTTATTTTGCTCATGACTTTTGGAGCACTTTAAATTATTCTGAAATATTGGTGTACTTATATATATACGGACACATACCTTAGGAATGCTAAAAAGTGTTCTTATTGGTTCTATATCCAGTCCAAATATATGCTTAGCTTGACTAGTAAATACATGGGCTGCAGCTCCAGTCGTATAGCCGGAGATCAGTGACTCGGACAAGAGTATAGTGATAAATCCAAACTTAAATAATCCTAAAATTATCTACAACACAATAATAATCATTTAATTAAAAAAAATCATTTCTCATACCATACCATGAATATTCCAGAGAGAAATGAAAGTGTAACTGCTATTTTAACTTTTAGCTCCTCACAACTCATCTCTGTTCCACTTATACTGACTATTATATCGTTATTTTCAGTGCCATTTAGGCAGGGATACATTTCTTCATTGCTTTCAAGCACGTGAGTGATACCATTAGCCACCATTAAACTAACAACTGCAAAAGTTCCTGTAATAAAAGATGCAAGATGTTAAAAAAGTCTATCAAATACCAATGTACACATATTCCTATTATTACTATGAATAATTGTATAGCTAAATAATCTAAACTGACCGACAGATATGTGTCTCGATGTTCCTAAAAACGAGTAAACAATGACAGGTACAAATGATCCATATAATCCATACACTGCGGGCAGTCCTGACAATAATCCGTAAGCCAGACCTAATTATACAAATAAAACAATAACATAATAGCAAGAGTAAATAATAATTAGAGGAGAGTGTCCTACTGTGCCTATACCCCCTGCTTCATCACGGCGTAGAATTGAAGAGTCACATTCAGGATATTTTCAGTATTTTAGAGTAGTTATTCAAAAATAACTAGCAATACCTATAACTACTCAAATAAAATACGGAAATATCCTGAATGTGACTCTTCAATTCTACGCCGTGATGAAGCAGACCTTATAGCCAGTAGGACACTCTCCTCTAATTATTATCTACTCTTGATAATAGGGATGTTCAGCTCATACAGTAGCTCATGCTTGCTCACTCTCCCATTGTTAACATTCACCTGCTCCTAGTATTCATATGATATGGCAAACACTTGACCAGTGGTCACAATGAAAATTAAAATCCACTCAAATCACTATTGCTGCCATCAGCATACGCTATAGGAAGCATGCTGCTAGCCTTTGATGCTTCATTTCAATCTCATTGAATGAAATAGAAATGTTTTATATTCAAGGCAGCCATGTTGCATGACTCTAGACCACATCAAGGCATGATCAAAGGCTGGAAAAAATGAAAGCAACATTGTAGAGCATGGCAGACTTAATAATAGAGACAAAGAATCATTTTCATGGGTGCAAATAACTGTACAAACATCAGAGAAATGTCTCCATTACCTTGAGGAATATGCATAACAGCAATAGTGATGCCAGATATAATGTCTCCCAGTAGAAACTTAAGCTGATATATCCACAACCAGCCAATTATTGGGAAGCGAGTGAACAAGAAATACTTGCATTCCCTCCTGGAGGAAGGGACCTTGATTGCAGTTAGAATAGGTTCAGGTGGTATGAATGACCTGTGCCAATTCTTCTTCATTCTGCTCTCAGGTGGTCTTAAGATCTGCTCAGGATGCTTAACAATAGTCTCGAGGAGCTCTGTAGTTGGCCTGCAGAAAATAAAAATAGCACAATAGACCAATATGATAGTAGTGTAGTGACTGTAGTCAAGAGTGTAGTAAGACAAGGGTTAGTCGGCCAATCAACTACTAGACACTATAGTAGGGTAGTCTTGAGCAGGACTGACAGCTGATATATTGCAACCTGCTAACCTGCCCAATACAGGACTCTCGCCATTAGGATCAACCTCAATATCTCCCTCTCCCAATGGCCGCAGCTCGATTTCTTCAAGGTCGTCTGGAGCAGCCATCTTGCTGCTTTGGTTATTAATGAGAAGGCGTGGCTTGTTGTTAAATTAGAAAATAATATCGTCTTAAGAGCTAATACGGTATTAGCTTGAATGCGGATAGAGAGCACCTAGGGAGGAAGCATTGGGACACAAAGTAAGTGATAGGAGAGGCTTCTGTACTTAATCTTTCCCCACTATCCATCCTCTAGACAACTCAGAGTTCCTTTCTCTCATGTTATAAAGTCTTCTTGTTCTCTATTTGAAGACTAAAACCACCCGAACATGGACTCTATTGACTTATCGATGCTGAGAGTCAGTCAAAGCACAGAGCCACACACTAAGCATACACACACTGGGACACTTGATCTATCAGTAGTAGATCAAGGGGCTTTAGATACATACAGATCCTAATACATTTTTTTGGCTTTGGGCAAAACCGAATCTTAAGTTGGTGGTTGTATGTTAGTGATATTATTGTATCAGGTACATGGTGACGCTAATCCTTAACACATGTTCCCAAAGACATCACATTTAACTATTCCTGTCCTTTCTTTGTCAGTACACCCTCAGAATCAATTGATTTGTTTTGTCTCTTGCTGTAAATTACCAGGGGCATAATGTCACCCTTCAAGCGTAGGGTGCAAACGAAGGTAGATTTTCAAACTTTTAAAGGTCTACTTAATTTTTAAATTCCCAGTTAATTTTTGAAAGTATCTCTTACTTTATTATTTGCCTCAGAAGTCTTAGTTTATGGTGTAGTTCATACACATTTATGTCACTGATTTCCCTCTAACTTGATTAATTTGAGTAATACAGGCTTTTCAAGTAGTGAAATTAGCATTTTCTCAATGTTTGACAGTCAACGAACCTGTGGTTGGTTATTTGTAACTTCAAAAGTTTACAACTGAAACAAACCTTTGAATGCTGTTGCATTTGTTTGTGCCATTCTCCCAAAGGAAATTGTCATTATTTTTTATATTGGGGTTTATTGTGATCTAGATGTATATTTAGTTGTCACTGCTATTAATAGAGTAGGTGCAAGTTATGGTTCTGTTAGTGTGTTATTACTATCCTTAATTTAATATTGTTTGATATTGTTTTCCTGTATTTACTTAAGAAATTGAATAGAGAGTAAGTGAGAGAGAGAGAGAGAGAGTGAGTAAAAGAGCTACTGAGATTTATAAAAGAGTAAGAGAGAGAGAGTAGAGGTTGTTTATCATGATTAAATTTAGTCTTAATACACAATACTCAGATTATGTACAATGTACAACAATGTAGTGACGCTTAATTAAAGTATAAATTTGGGCATATTCTAATGATTATGATTATTACATTTAATTGGCATAATTACATAAACCTTCATTTTTATGTGCATGCCTTTTACACAAAATACACATGTACATGTATATTGAAATTTCTTTAAGACTATTTGTAAATTGCTGATGGCAGCATTAATTGTGTGAGTGACAACATTCACGGTTTTAAATTCTGTAAGGTCAGCGTTCATGTGCATTTATTCTTAGCTTGCATTGTGTATAGTGATTATATTCATGTCCTGTATGTTACCTTACATGAACATGTATGCTAGCCTTTATTAGACATTATTTGTTAGTCTATAGATGTTAGAAGTTATAGCGTGATTACTCTCTTTTCATCATTTAGGATCCTGAGGGTATCTTTGAACTGATTGAAGTGGTCGGCAATGGGACGTACGGACAAGTGTTCAAGGTACAGTCACATGCTTCTCTTCTGTGAATTATTAATTGGTTTATTGCCCTGTACGTTACACCAATGTTTAATGAACAAGTGTTGAAACAGCTTTGGTGTTGATATGATTGTACATCTACATGTACATGTATGAAGGAGTTACTAGGCACTAGCTTACATGTACATCTCAAATCCTGATATATTTGATTGTTTAAAAAATCAAATATTAGAACGATTTTTTGCTCTGATAAAATTGGTGCAATATATACATGTACATTCACAATATGTTAGTACCTCTTCTTGTATGATTTTTATTGATACTGGTGTACTTGTCCTTATACTTGTACCTGTTGTAATATGAGTGGAATATCAATGCGTTTGGTGATAGCATTATCATTTTCTTGTGGTATGAATTACCAATCACTGCTACCTGTATGTGTACACTGTGTAAGATGAACGCTCCTTTATTGGGTATAATGTATCTCTTACTAATGCACATGTGGACTATAGTGGTCTTAGATGCTGAGACATATGTGTACTTAATAATCATCCACATTTACTTTTCTCTTAACATCAACTTGGTTATGTATTATTACATTTGTACACCACCACCATACAATACTGTAGTATACTGTATGGTCACCATACAATACCATAGTGTATTATATCATGATCACATTGAACATGTTATGGTCACGTTGGGGCATACTTTTTCATTACTACTCTCTAGTAAAACCAGTCTTTGGTTTTAACCACAAATATTAGACACACTGTACATGTGTAGTATTAGGGTGTGATTGTGTGAGAGAGAGACAGTCCTACCTTATCATACTCTCCATCTTATTAGTGGAGATAATAAGAGAATACAAGTACAATGTACATGTAGATGAAAGGGAGAGAGGCTGTGTGTGTAGTTCTGCTCCATTAAACTACAACAGAACTTTGCTAAAGATATTAATCTTTCTCTGTTTAAATCCTATGTGCTTGAAGGAAAATTTTTTCTTATTTGTATAGGGGCGTCATGTTAAAACAGGCCAGCTGGCAGCTATAAAGATCATGGAAGTCACAGAGGTTTGTAAAGGCATTTTAAAAGATACATGTACGTCTATAATATAACTTATAGGACGAAGAGGAGGAGATTCGTTTGGAAGTAGATGTCTTGAGAAAGGTTTAATAGCACATTTTATGCGTTTGTGTCACATTCTGTACCCATGCAGTATTCATACCACACTAACATTGCTACCTATTACGGAGCTTTTGTGAAGAAGAGTGAGCCCGGGACTGAAGACCAGTTGTGGTTGGTTATGGAATTCTGTGGTGCTGGCTCTATCACAGACCTTGTCAAATGTTAGTATTAGTACACACACACACACACACGTACATGTATATGTACACATGTATAATAATTAGAAGTACATGTACATGTATATACACTTCTTGATATTGCTGTTTATATACATTATGTGTTATTATTTTTTTAATATAGCTACTAAGACAAGGTCTCTGAAGGAAGAGTGGATAGCATATGTAGCCAGAGAGGTCCTAAGGGTGAGGAGTATATGCTCTAGCACTGATTGATATATTACCATCCATTCATAAACAATAGGGTCTCAGCCACCTCCACAAAAACAAAGTCATACACAGAGATATCAAAGGACAGAATGTCTTATTAACTGATAATGCTGACATCAAACTGGGTAAGATCATGCACATAAATGATTTGTAAGGCAGGTACACATATATTAGAATATGTCTCATGTTATATTAATGATGAAGTTAAATTTGGTTTAATTCCCATCATTTCATCAAAAGTTCGATTCACCCACACTTTGGTAAAAATTGAAGATACACTATGGCTTAGCATATCGTACATTATCGATTGTACATTGATCTGGTTGACCACATTAACACATGTATGTTCCTATTAAAACCACAATAATCTTTTTTGTGTGTGTGACAATCACCAGTGGAGCATGGCCAGTAGTTCCTACATTGTAGCTGTACATAACAGAAGTACTTAATGACTTGTGGCTTGTCAATGTTATGTCTCTCGAGTGTATGAAAGAATTTGCTTGGCAGAACAAGTGTACCCCCTCATTCCTGTATAGTATATTGGACTACTATTGGGTGTCTATGTAGGACGCTACTGTGATTGCCTGTGGTTGAATAATTAGCTGATTCCTTGTGTGGGCTAAAGCATATATACACATGTGTAGATTAGTAGCTTAAGAAAAGCAAATTATCAACTCGGATACACACACATACTCACTCACTTACTCATTCACTCATTATTACATGTAGCTAATAATCAATTATTAATGATGCATTCATTATTAGCATGTCATCAATGAACAATGCCTGATGTGAATTCATAGCTGTACTATACTGTACATACAATGTACAGTGGGCAATCGTGTTTCTCATGACAATCACAATAGAAACCTATAAATCTCATTCCATAGTAAATTTCTACCTGGAAGTCATTGGAGTGTATGCTTATATATATACTCCTGATCATCATCTATTGTGTTGTATTGAGTGTATAAAGTTGTATATTTTATTTTATTAGTTTGTGATTGTTTAATATGATACAATGATGATGGTAATAATAATCTTCTTATTCGTTATTCTTTTCCAGTTGATTTCGGTGTTTCGGCTCAGTTAGATCGAACGATTGGAAAACGTAATACATTTATAGGGACCCCATACTGGTAAGACGGAGTATAGTCATGAGTTTGTATTGATGGTTTTATAGGATGGCCCCCGAAGTTATTGCTTGTGATCAAGACCCCCATGCCACATATGATTATAGGGTAAGTCTGTCTCACACTATTGACAACTCCCATTCTCATTCAGTGGTACAATATTGTAAAATAACCTTTTCAAGGAATGAGGAATCATTTTGTGGCCTATACATTTAGTATACATGTTTTTTTTGCTAGATTTCTTTTATATTTGCAGTCTTCACTAGCTATTAATTCTTTGCATGAGCGATTGAGCATGCAGCAGTGTTGTACAGTAGACAATGCACTGTATAGTTTATACATGTATATTGTACTTGTGTAGTATAGGAAAAGTGCTGTAAATGATTTATAATAATTTAATTGCTTGATATCTTAAGAGTATACGCATACATGTATATTGTATCTAATGTTGAATGTTGATTAATTAATTAATGCAGTGTTTTTTATTATTAATTTATACCTGTAGAGTGATCAATGGTCCCTTGGGATTACTTCAATAGAGATTGCCGAAGGAGAGCCCCGTAAGTCTCATTGACATATTGAGATGTGCTTTCATGATAATTATACCTCTCTCTCTTGCAGCATTGTGTAGTATGCATCCAATGCGTGCACTGTTTTTAATTCCTCGTAACCCTCCACCACGTCTTAAAATGCCCAAGAAATGGTAAGTCATGCATTAAATGAATTACATGTGTATTAATGTTTGTTTATTTTCTGTTGCTGCGTCATGTGCTTGTAGGTCCCCCAAATTCACTAGTTTTATTGATCAGTGTTTGACCAAAGATCCCACTAAGCGTCCTACATCTGATGAATTACTTAGGGTAAGAGTTATTTCAGTGTTTCCCACACAAAACATGCTACATAAGCTAAACAGCATGAGCTTCATGAGCTGACAAGCACTACAATACAGTACATGGCATTTAGATTAACTTTAAAAATTCATTAAAAATCCAACTTTGATCAGAATGAGCTGAAATTTGAAATATAAAATAAGGACATGTATGTGTATCAGAAAAAAATATAAAAATGGAAAATTCTTTCCTAGTCATTTTTGATGAAATTTGCCCAATATCCCTGTACTATAGTACAGGGACTTTGACCCGATTTTGGAGCAACTTTAAAAAATTCATAAAAAATTTAAATTTGATCGAAAACAGTTCAAATTTTTTGTACAGTATAAGAACATGTATATGTATGAGAAAAAAATTTTTAAATGGAGAATTCTCACTTTGTGATTTTTGTCAAAATACCCTGTACTACTGACAAGAAGCTGCTATGCAGGAAACCTGAGTTAGTTGTTTAAGTTTTTATCATTTCTTTCCCATTTCAATTTTTCTTTATTACTTTTCTCTTTCTGTCTCTCATGTAGCATCCGTTTGTCAATGATTTCCCTGAGCGTCAAGTCCGTATTCAAATGAAAGATCAAATTGATCGCATGAAGCGCAAGAAAGTAATGGACGACCATTTGAGCTCAGACGAAGAAGGCTCATTGGAACAACCTACAATTAAGAAAGGAGGAGGAGGTACTAATGGTATACATGTACATGTACCTTGATTGACTGTACTGTAATCTTGCTTTAACTGCAATGAACATGTACATGTATCCTATGCAGTTTTTTTATAATTACGAAAGAGATTCGCGTGTACATGTACATGTGTATTGTCATTATGCTTTATTATGAGTGTGTCATTTTTATAGACACAACTGGTTCAGGTGGAAAGCCCAAGGTATGTTTGCTAGTTGTGCTTTTTATGAGGTTTTTAATTCACTCACACAACAGACAGAAGATGAAGATGACGATGACGATGATGATATCCTAGGAGCAGCTGGTGACACTATACTTACTACAAGAGAACAGTGAGTCATTGAGAGACCGCCTTCCTTTTTATTTATTTGATTGCAGGGGAGCTTCCGATGATTTCACAGCATCAACGGATACGAAACTCAGCCAGTATGCTGAAGAGACTCTCATTATTAGACCTGATGTATGTGTCAGGAATTCTTTGATATTTTATAATCTTTTGTGTGTGTGTATAATAGTCTGAGCCTAGTTCATCATTTCTGCAAGATAGTTCACCAGAGCAAAGGAAAGCAGATCAACCCTTCTCTTCTTACCAGCCCTCGGTAAGATTACACCGACTCATGTTCACCTGTTATTAATTATATTAGGGAGGTGCTAAACCAGGTGGAGCTGTTCCACGTCCCATTGGTGCATCTGGTAAGCCGTGGCATATAAAATCTGCCATTTTGCCACGTTTACATGTATATTCATTATGAGCCACAAAAATGTAGCTTCATATACATTGTACATGTATACAGTATTATACAGTATTATACAGTATTATACAGTATTATACAGTATTATATTCTTCCATAAACTGTAGATGTACATATATAAGTTATAGAGTTGCTTGTTTGATCTTTAGGTGGTAGACAAGGGGAGAATGGAGGAGTAGTTAAAGCTGAGGTCACAAAAATGGTAAGTGAAATTACTGGTACATGTACAATGTACTTGCATCAATTAACCATCCCCTTTATTAGAATCCAGAGATTCGTAAATACAAGCGTAAATTCACATCAGAGATATTGTGTGGTGCATTATGGGGTGTGAACCTGCTCGTTGGGACTGATAATGGATTAATGCTCCTGGATCGCTCCGGACACGGAAAAGGTGACCTTTCACTGACTATCCGTAACGTTTATATTTTTTGATTTGTGTCTAGTTTTCCCTCTCATTTCAAGACGGAAGTTTTCACAGATTGATGTATTAGAAGGTTTGAACGTTCTCATTGGAATAAACGGACGCAAGAACAAGCTCAGAATTTATTACCTGTCCTGGCTGAAGCAGAAAATCATGAAGCACGAGGTCAGTTTCAGAGACACAGCAAGGATTGATAATATTGTGTAATTTGTAGCTTGACAGTCCTCACACAAGGCAAGGGTTTGTGCCAGTTGGTGATCTGGAGCATTGCGTTCACTATAAAGTTGGTAAGTGATATTAGCAGTGTTATTTAATGACTGAGTACATGGACTCACTGCTTGTCCCTTTATATGGTACAGCACGTTCTGACAAGATGAAGTATTTAGTCATTGGAACTAAAACTGGAGTGGAGGTGTATGCTTGGGCTCAGAGACCTTATTCAAAATTTATGGCATTCAAGGTATAATATCCTGTGTGATATACATCATTCATTGCTACATTTCTTTATAGTCATTCCCTGATCTACCAAACAAGCCCATACTGGTAGACATGGTCCATATGCCTGGTGGTAAGAGTAAAGTCGTGTATGCTTCCACTAGTGGTTTCCATGCTGTTGATATGGATACTGGCGTCGTACAAAATATATACATACCCGCTGCTGCTGTGAGTGTTGCACAATACATGTACATGTGTGGTGCATGTACAGTGTGATCTCATTATTGCTTGTTGTAGGCCCGTGGTCCCATTTTACCTCATGCTATTATCCCTCTTCCATCTAAACCATCGGAACTCCTTCTCTGTCACAATAGTAAGGAAAAGAGAGGGAGAGTCAGTCGCTAGAATGCATAGAATTGGAGAGTATAGTATTAAAGCAATCATTACATCTTTTTTGTTTAGATGAAGGCGTGTATGTTGATAGCGAGGGACGCTCTACAAAGGACACTCGTCTTCAATGGGGAGAAGAACCTTCTTCTGTGGGTAAGTACCTGTATTCCGGTGCACATGTACATGCATCAACTTGTAACTCAAACTATTCTCATCCATTACTACTTAGTAGCAAGTTCCCCCCCCCCTTACATGTAGTAATAATGCTGGGAGCTATTGTCAGCATAGACAGTGGAGCTGTCTAAATAAGAATGGACTCTTAGTGTACAATGTACTTTTTATTTTTAGCTCTCATTGGTGAGTCACATGTCATGGGCTGGGGATCTAAAGCAATTGAAATCAGAGCTGTTGAGTCCGGTCAACTGGATGGTGTCTTTATGCACAAGAGGACACAAAAGCTTCGTTTCTTGTGTGAAAGAAATGATAAAGTGGGTACAAGTATTAAAGAAACGTTGTTTTAGCGTATTGTTCTTATTTTAGGTATTTTTTGCTTCTATTCGATCAACTTCTAATAGCCAAGTTTATTTTATGGCTCTTAATCGTAGCCTCGTACCAAGTTCCTCCTCATCGTCTTAACTTGCAAGGATCTGCTACACTTTTGTATTCATTGAAGTGACATAGTGTGTTGTTAGAAGTGGTTAATAATAATAATAATAATAATATTAATTTTAATATTAATAATAATAATTACAATTAAGATGTTTATTTGATGTGCTTCAAGTTTCTTATCAAAAATATTATTACTACTAAATAAAACTTTCATTTTAAAAAAAGGCAATTTCATCAGAGTCACTCCTGAAGAGCTCTTGCTAATTTGCTATATGCCCAGTGTGTCTATTCTTACACTAGATAACATGTTGCTAGCAACTTTGGTGGTTACTTTGCTGTAATCATTTTGTTCCAAAAATAGAACAGATATCTATTATTAGATACAAGATTGAAGCAATTTGCTATCAACATGTTGCTTATAATGTCGTATATGTGTATGTTGATAGTGTTACATGATGCAACTCGTCAACAAGTTGTAGTGCTAGACGTCTTTGTCATTGTATTCTCTTATAAAAACCACTGAGTGTGAAAGGACTCAGTATCTATTTCATTGTCTGTTCTGGCAAAACATAGCCAATTTCTATAGTCTAAAAGTCACATCAACAAGTTCTGACGTTTTTGTCTTGAACTTATTGATATAAAACCACTTAGTATAAGGACCTATTGATTTCCATTGTATAGTAATAATGATATAATAAGAAAAATAAGTGAAGTGTTATTTTTTAGTGAAGAAACTGGTCATTGTTTTCATTCCTTTCTTGTTCACTTTAGCCAAAGCCTTTTGAGCGGCAGAGAGTTTAGGCTCCACCTGTAAAGAATCAAAACACTCAATACTTTACTAGCCGACTTACTTTTACTGCCACTGGTTTAACACCTTTACTGTAATCTTCAGTAGGCTCAGAGATTTGTCTCTATAATGTGTGAAGGATTACAAGGTTGTATAAGTTCATCTTATTCTCACTTTCTTTGCTGGTAGTTCATTGCCATCTTCTATTGGACGCTTGCGGTCCACAGCTGCTAATTGATACTTGGCATCTAAATCCTCACAAAGTGAAGCAGGAACATAATCCTTTATCATTCCACTGGCATATTCCTTATACTCCTCATCTACAGGGTAACTGAAAATTACAAATTATGATTTCAAATGATTACCTTCAGCAAGTGATGTTTGTTTATTACTGCGGACATAATGGACACTTTGTGATCCTTTGCCTACATAGATACCTTGCTCTTTAAGCGTACTGGATAATAATTCGACCTATTGTACATTAAAAAAGAAAAAAGTATTAACTTCAATTTAGCCTGATTATTCACATTTACCTTTTTTGACAGCCAGCACAATGTCTTCTCTTTATTGTATCGATACACGATCACATCACCTTGTATCACTGAAACATAACCATGCAATTACCAACAACCGTGTCACGAACTACAAATACCTTTAGAGTCAGTTATGTTGCTCATTTGGGTGGGAGAGACCAGGTTTTCAATGAGGTACGAGTGAGAGCAGTGATCCAGTATTGCATCAAGGGTAGTGAATTTATCAATGCTCTATTAAAAGAAGATCCCACCCCCACACTAAAATAATTATTAATCATACACTATTAATATTACTTTGGAAGATAGCAATGCAGCTAGTATAAAAAACAAAGGATCCATTTTAGTGCAGACATAGAAGCTTCCATCTAAAACTCATCGTTCAATATCATTAATTACACTGGACAAGTCAAACCTGATTGTACCGATTCACCAATAAACCAAGACCTGTATTGAGAGCTTGTTTTATTCAACTCGTATATTCTTCTCTGATCTGCTGATATTAAGTATTGTCGTAAAATGCCTAATCATCAAAATAAACATTAGAAATGACTTGTGTGACATTAACCTGAATGAGGATCTGGATATTTAATGAACTGTGGTTGGACATTATTATCACCTAGTGCATCACCTGGAAAATAATAAAAAATAGATATTAAACTGAGTTTCCCACAGAATTTTAGCATTAATTTGCTTCAAAATTTTGACAAAATACCCTTTACTATAGCACAGGGTAATTTGTCAAAAAAATTTGAGAGATTTTTCTCTTTTTATATTTTTTTCTGATACATATACATGTTTTTATATTGTTCAGCAAGTTTGAGCTAATTCTGATCAAAACTAGATTTTTTGCAAATTTTTAAAGTTACTCCAAAATCAGGCCAAAGTCCCTGTACTATAGTACAGGAACTTTGGCCAAATTTTACCAAAAATGGCTAGGCGAGATTTCTCCATTTTTATAATTTTTCCTGATACATATACATGTTTTTATGTTGTGCAGAAAGTTTGAGCTGATTCCGATCAAAATTGGATTTTTTACAAAATTTTTAACAGAGACCATGTACTATGCAATGCATTCACACGTATCTATTCATTATTTTAAAGATGCTACCATAACAGTTGCATATCTATGATGTTACTTACGTGGAAGGATAACAACCCATTGAGAGGAGGATAAGTGATGGGCGTGTTTAATACTAGAAGGTTTCCTTTCTCTATCCTCAGTAATAAGAGATAAGGGAGCGCTATCCTGCGAGTCTACGAATGTACTACTGGACACAGAAACATTTGAAATCTCCCGACTGAGACTATGGGAGCCTTGAGATAAGCTCTCGTCACTGCAGACACTTTTACTTCTATTTCTGGTTAGCATTTTTGATGGGTATTGGAAATTATTATTTTTTTAGATTTTTTTCGGAGCTAGCTAGAGCTAGATTGACCACGCCCACAGACACGCCTCTAAAAGAAAAATGTATCTCCTCTTAGCGCTGTTGTTTCTCTTCCTTGTACAGAATGATTGTCAGGAGCTGTTTCTCACTATTAGAGAGGAGGAAAATGGCCAGGAATTAAGTGAAAGTAACAACATTAGTAGTAGAATTGCCGAAATGTATCAAACCACCACATACTCTAATAGCTCTAGTCGTTGTATTTGTCAAGCTGTACAAGGAGAAAACTCACTGCTGGAGTACACTAGCAACATAGAAAGCTGTATATCTGATCCATATAATTCCAGTGCTCTAGGTGTCTGTTCTTCATTATTTTTCAAAAATGCCACATATAGTACCATGTATCGTATTGAAGTAAAGGACGCATCATCTGATAACTCAAGCCGGAGGACAATGACTGTCACTCAGTTTTGTGATAAAATGGAGTCGGTTCGTGAGTCTTTGGCAAAATTTGAGACTCTTCTAGCGCAGACTCTTGTCTGTGTCTATTTGAACACTTGCGATGATAAGAACTTCTGTTTAGTGAGTTAATGATCAATACACATCCACCGCCATATTTTATTGATATTCTTTTTTAATTTTATAGATATCTTACATTAATTGGTTGTGCATGACTCAACTGGATCTCTATAGGAACAGTAGTACAAGCAATAGAAGCAGTAGGGAATCAGCAGATTTTGGTATCGAGAGTGATGGTACACAGTATAATCCTGTAAAGCCCTGCTATGGGGTCTGTACTAACGTTCTTAGAGACTGTCCTTACTATTTGCCATCCAGCTATCAGCATGCCACCATTAACAATGAAGGTGAATATTCTTACGTTACAATGGAGTACGTGTATGGAGGATATCCGGCATTTGCATGTCCTGGATCATGTGAGTCTCGATTGTTTTTGTGTCAATTTCATTGTAGTCTATGTGCATGTACATGTAATTGTTATTGCACTATCATCATCATCTTTATTATTATTCATTTCTTTAGCTTCTGTAAGTGATGAAAAATCAAATTCAAGTTATGGTACTGAGTCTAATTGCATACTCGTAGGAGAGAGTGGTGCTCCATCAAATCGTATGAGTTTTCTAATGATGCTAGTAACTCTTACCCTCTTAAACATATTGATGTGACGTGTTTTGAACCATTTTAATTTTTGGAATCATTTTAAATCATTTTTTGTCAGAAATAATAATTATTATTAGAACCTCCTATGGTCATTCACCTCTCATTATCATAATAATTATTAATTTATTATTACAAAGATTGTGTGCTGTGTTAGTCTCTGAAGCCTCCTCTGTCTCTCTTAAACGGAAGAGTGGTCGATGATAATGTTGATACTTCCCAGTACAAGCTACGAGAAAGGAACTGTTTGCTTAGCATCATTAAAGCCACCAGTTGTATGGCGATAGTTCCAATGGTCACTACCTATGGAACAATAATGATGATGACAGGATGAACATGTACATACATAAAATTAATGAAAATGTAAGATATGGTTCATGATTTACTAGCTACTATAGTCTCTTGATAATAGATAATTAAATTGCAATATGCAAGACAATTGCTCCATTAGAGCTACAATAGTATTTTGAAGTATTTATATATATATAATAAAGAATTAAAAACTCAATTTGATGGTTGGAAATTTTTATTCATGAGAAAAGTACTGATAATTGTAATAATGACTGACTCTGTGTCTCCAGTATTCTGGCAGTACCATTGCAATTAACATCAGCATAGGAAACGATAAGAACCAAAGATAACAAATCTAAGAGATAGATATTACTATTATTGTTGTTAATTTTTTGGGAAAATATCTCACAATAGCGAATGCTTGATAGAAATCTTTCCGTAGTGTACTCCTCTCTTTAGAGAGGGTAGATTGAAGGTTGTATCCAAAAAGGACGGCTAGTATGATCCTGAGACAAACCAGCAGAAACCCAGGAAGATTCTCATGGACGTGATACGTGTAGTGACTCTCCTCATAAGATTGCTCCCATAAAACCAGTATGACCTGTCATAAGAGGCCGTGTTATCATGTTAATATTGAAAGAACAATTATAATTATTATCATACGTTATGTAGCACACTAGGTGAGATGTACCATAATCTTAAAATTTATAATAGTACAAGCTTACTTCAGCACCTCCGACTAGAGCAATAATTCCAAGCTGCCCTTTGTTGTTAACAGGATGTGGTATGACTTGGCCTAGTGTCCATCCCATTGACATAGAGAGTAACATGCAAATCATTATCATCTGCGATACCACATCTAGTACTGATACATGTCTCTGTTACAAGTGTAAAGAAGTATTGTTGATCTTACTTTCGGATAACGTTTCACAAGCTGAACTTCCTTCACCGTCATTCTTAAATCTAATGTAAAAGTATTAATGATGAATATATATATTTTTAATTTCAATTTTACTAACATCCATAAGTTGATGAACATAAAGAAAGCTGACAAGAAGTGGACTGCTATAGCAACAGATAACACTTGTAGAACCTAGAGCATAATGTACTGCTGATATTGACCCAAAAAAATTTACTTTTTCCCAGCAAATTTCCCGGAAAAAATTAAATTAGTGATTTCTCAGAAAAATTAATTCTTCCCGGCAAATTTCCCGGGAAAAATATTTTCTCGACAAATTACAAATCACCAATTGATTAATAACTAACTTCATGCATTGGGCCACCTTTCTGGATTGATTGCCACACACGTCTAGCAAAATACGCAATCCCTCCAATATAAAATAAAATTAATAATGTGTACATCGTTAGTAGCCCTAGAGTAAAATGTGATAACAAGTATTATAAGTCTGAAAACACCATTAATAACACTAATAAAGAGCTTTATATAGTTTCTAAATTTTCTACACTATTAGGTTCGTGCATGTATCAGATTTCAGTACCAAAACTTGAATATTTAAAGTTACTTACCTTTTTCATCTTCACCAAAATGGTCATTAGCATTCCCTTCTGAGTCAGGATTGAGGAAAGTCAATGTATAGCCAATAAACAGGTCCTCAGTGGGTGGGGATTCATCACACGTGTTAGGATCAGCATATACCACATACCAGAAATGAGGTCTGAGCCACTGATTGACTAACTGCTGCCCTCTTGTAGCTGATATGCCAACTAGATCACACAAAAATGCAATAATAACAATAATAATAATAATAATGTTAATAATAATAATAAATAATAATAATATTAATAATGTAGAAGCTCGTGTAGAAGTGATAATAGACATACCAGAAAAACGAGCTTTAGCAATCTTGTTACGACAATCTGTTTCAGCTAGAGAATCAGACCAATGATCATCCAAATAGAAATACCAACGACCATTGGAAGAAATATTTGTCTCGTATTCAAATAATGCTCTCCTGTCTATACAATACTTTAAAATGCTACTAATTATTATTATTTTTAAAACCCACCATGGAAGCAAAATTTAGTAATGAAGGTTCCATTTTCGCTCCATGCTTGTCCTGAGCTGACGACTCCTGCAATAACTTTGGCACGAGTCTCTATAAAGAGAAAATGGAGTAGAGCTACAACCAGGAAAATCCAAGAGAAGGCCATGTCATTAATGATTTCACAATGGAAGTTCAAGTTCTCTTTATATTCTTGGTATCTACTCTGTGATTGTGGGTTCGGTCGACAACACCTACAAAGGTGTGGTCACATAGATCAGATCCAGATGGGATTATAAAGCCCTTGCAAGTGCAAAAGATAAGACTGTAGTACAAGTTGACCCAGTTACTGTCCACTCGGTACTGAGAGGACAAAGTGTTGTAAATCAGGGAAGGAAAATCTCGGTGAAAGTTTGACAGTGATGGCTGAAGGTACGGGCTAGACTACAGACCATTCACACGTGTTGTGCTAACAATAGAAACCATGTAGAAACTGAACTGTTCAATTTTAGGTGTTACCATGGAGGCCTATGTATCCTTGGCGACTAATAATGACTACTGCCACGGAGCCATTGCCCTGGCCTGCTCCCTTCGATTGACAAACACTAGTCGTAAACTCTGTTTGCTCATTTCAGAAAAAGTTACTGTTGATATGAGGTGAGGAAATTAATCAAAGCATCATCAAGCAAATGAAATGATAAAGTTTAAAGAATAAAAATGATAAAAAGAGAGCAATGATGCGTTCCTTTGTGTGGCACACCTGCATGTGCAAGTTGTAGTTTTTATATGATATGCAAAAATGGTCATTTGTTAATGAACCACACACACTAATGTTTCCTGAATTCATACAAGAAACAGCTAGTAGTGGAATTGGTAAGGGTTAGGACTTGAACTTTAGAGTTGATATATATATATATATATTATACCACTTATTATTGATTATTAAATGTATAATCATTGTACTTTTATTTTTGCCTTGCTTACTTTTTCTTATTAGAGAGAAGCTAGAGAAGGTATGGGATGAAATGATTGTCATTGAAGAGATAACGAGTGGAGACGAAGAGAAGCTAGCGCTTATAAAAAGACCAGAACTTGGCGTTACATTTTCTAAGCTACACATCTGGCGTTTGGTCCATTATTCCAAATGCGTCTTCCTTGATGCCGACACTTTAGTCCTAACTAATGTTGATGAATTGTTTGAAAGAGAAGAAATGTCAGCTGCTCCAGATATTGGCTGGCCCGATCTCTTTAACTCTGGAGTGTTTGTCTTTAGACCAAGTCTAGAGACATTTGCCTCACTTTTAGAGCTTGCTGATAAAGAAGGCAGCTATGACGGCATGTACATTACATAATAAACATTTAGTAAATCCTTTTTTTAATTTTAGGAGGCGATCAAGGTCTTTTAAATTTATACTGGAGAGATTGGTCAATACGTGATGCACCTTATAGGCTCCCTTTCACGTATAACGTTGTAGCCAATATCACCTATAGCTACCCACCAGCTTTTTTACGGTACAAAATGTCTGATTGTAATCATAATCTTATCTTTCCCTTTCTTGTATTAGTCATCGAAAGGACATGAAGATAATTCATTTCCTCGGTGCCATTAAACCCTGGCATCATCGCTACATACCGAGCGATGGGTCCATCATAATGCACCCAGGGGCAGACCAGTCCCACTATGGAGCTGAAGAGTTCATTAGGAAGTGGTGGGAGATATATCATAAGCATCATTCTCTATTGGGCCCACATTTAGCTGGTGAAATCGAACATCATGTAAGCGGTAGCTCTATGCTGTATAGCTGGCCACAAATTTGCCAATTAAAACAGCAATTTGCCAAAATCCCCTCCTCTAAAATTACCAGCTATACAGTGATGGATCAGTTACTCTACACAGTAGTAGATTTTTTTAATTGAATTGAGTTAAATGTACAAATTGCATGCAGAATGAGGTGGTCTGCCATTTACACTGTACATGTACAAGGAGGGAAATGCTCTCCCTCTGTTACTGTATGTTATGATCATGTGATTCCATGCTGTCTATGTTTTGTAGGAGCTCTCTTCTCCTTTTCAACCATCAGATGGTGAAAGGAAGGCTTCATGGGAGAGACAGGCTCCGGATTATCACGGGGTGGATCAGTCCGATAGCGTTATGGCTCACATTAAGTCTCAGGTGGACTGATGATATTCTAATTGACAATTTATTAGCAAGAGTACATTCTAGATACTGTTAATAGTCTTTCTTTTTTGCTTTGTGTGTAATTTTTACATCATTGTCCTTTTGCTGCCGTTATTATTAATTTTTATTGTACTTCAAAGCATTATGGTGGGTAGGGTGGGTATGCCCCTGCTCATTAACTCCTTATTGATCATTTTGTGTGGCTTCTAACCTTGCTGCTGGGAGGCTTGCTGCCGTCAGCCATCTTTATTTTAGTTTTAAACTGAGAGGAGATACAGGGCTGCGGTTCACGGAGGAGTCTCAAGTTCTACCACACAACCACTTGTCTTTGCCATCCTCGTATAGTGTTGTCTTTCTTGCCTCCCTTCTCTCTCTCTTTGTCTAGTAAAGAATGTTTCTTTTGGTGTGTTCGTTGTCATCAGAATGCCCTGTCTATTATTGTTGATGGATAATCCACAAGAGAGGACAATGATGGCCGCCAGTGACAATAGGGTAGCCACTGAACCTCTTGGTAGTAGTCCAGCCAAGGAACGGGCTACCACAACCACTCGAACTTCTTACGACGAGACTGTGGCCGTGGCCATAAAGGCCGCCGTCCCTCCCGTCCTCTCAGAAGAAAGCCTAGTGACTGGCAGTGCCTTTGAAATCACTAGTATCTCTCAGCTCCCCGAAGATAACGATGACAGTCATTTAACGGTCTCAAAGGACCAAGAAGAATTACAAAAGTCTTTACTGGAGGTTGGTCGGAGTTCTAACCACTTGAGTACCAGTAGCACCGAGTCTGAACCAGATGATGTCCCAATCGCGGCAGCTCCTGGTGCCATGGAAACTGTAAATGCCTCAACAAGACAACACATTGACGCTTCCCTCCCAATCAATCCTTCCCCAAAGTCTGACATTGCCGTCCCGTCAAACGGTCCTGCGGCTCCTCAGAGTCGCTTCAGACGTGTTAATCATTACGTGCGTGGGCGTTGGAAGGTACGGGACTCTTTTGAACCGGAGGAGAGGCCAGAGAGCGAAATGAAGATGGCTCCATCTCGGATCGTCTCTGACCCAAACACTACGTCTCCCTCTGTAGCACGCAAGACGACTCATCAGCTTCAGAACAAAACCTCGCTGAGTTCTGTTGAGCACAGCGAGTCTGACGACATCAGTGAGCTACCGCAGGTAGCCACGAGTGGAACAGCAACCGAGTCCATACATTCCTTATCAAGGACAGGGAGTATGTCCTCAGTTAGGGAACTCGGGCCTCACGAAGACGCAGAGTCAATGGGCAGCATGCCTATGTGTGGACCTACTCCAGACATACAACCCACTTCAAGCCTTCTTTATCGACCTACTCTCCTCTGCCATTGTGATGAGTGCAGGTATGCCTCTGTCTTTGTGGTGTTATAGTGATTACTCATTGATTTCATGTGTGTCCTAGACCTGTCCATTATATCATCACTTTGTCTATTTTGATTTGATTCCCTGGGTCAAAGAATGTTCATACACTCAATAATTAAGTGTGTGCTTGTGTGTGTACATAATAATCCATGCTTGTTTTATATTGCCTCCTGGTATGTTTTTTATTATAATTATCTTTAATATCAACCCCATCGTTGCATTATGATGTTAAGGAATGAGATAACTCTCTGTGTGTCCTCCATTACGTATGTACTTTATTTACTTGAGTTTGTTTTCTTTCTCTTGTGTTAGCAGTGGCCCACAGGATAAATCTCCTCAAGAATTTCAGCATACATTAGAGGCTGCGGTGGTGAGTGTTTCTCATGCATCCACATCCTCCTCCTATTTTGAACTGGGAATAATGATTTATCACAGTACAGCTAAATCATATTTGATTTCATAACATCCCCTCACTCTCCTTTACTATCATGTCTCTCTTTTTCTTCCTGTAGTGTCACTTACAGTGTCAAATATCTCTTTTCCAACAAGCTGCATCTAACAAACTTTTACAAGAGCGAAACAAATTGTTCAAGGAGAACGAGCGATTAAAGGAACAGATGCACTTAATGGAACAAGAGCTAGAGCAGCTAAAGTCTCGTCACACTGACAATCCTCCTACTTCAAGCCCCTAGTACACTCAAACTAATACGTGTAGTAAATGTGTGTCATTTGTATACTAATTTATATATGTATCTATGTTTTAGATTTTTAGGTGGACTCATCTCTCCCTAATGTATTTTCATACCTTATGTTACTCCTCCTCATCCTCTTATCTCCCTCTCTATAATGTGATCAATTTTAAATTCTACATTTTCATAAAATTTTAGTTTTAAAATGTACACAAGAATAATAAATATTATTATTCACTCTTATTTATTTCAAACATGCACTCTCTCATTATTCAGCGTTGAGTTTGTTGTATGAAGTTTTTCTTGATCTTAATCCAGGAGGAGGGCAGGGCGGTCCTTTAAATAGACCCTCGACCTGTTCCAGTGTCTTCCCTTTTGTTTCTGGTAGAAGTAGAAATATGAACAACCAGCCCAACAAAGCCAGACAGACGTACAGGCTAAATGCTCCATAACGAGTTAAGTATTGTGTTAAGTGGAGGAATGTAATGGAGACCAGTAAATTAGACGTCCAATTTGTTGTTGAAGATAAAGAATTCCCAATGCTACGTGCCCAATTAGGATATATCTCAGCATTAACAGTCCATGGTACTGGCCCCATACCAGGAGCAAATGATACTATATACATGACTAATGCTATCATTGCAAGCCAAGAGAATGTGTTTGGACAACTTGAATGTACAGTACCATATTGTGCTATATCATTTGGGGGAAACTGTCCAAAGGTTAGGAAAGAACTATCACAAGTTTCATTGTCTTGATGTAAGACAATAGAGTCAGGTATCCAGCACTTGCCTGAATTGGTTGTCCATTCACGATTAACACAAAATCCATTTGATTCTTCCTGGCCATATGTGGCATTGTAGGGAAATAGACAATAGAAGCAATTGTCCTGAATAACACAGTCATCACAACTGCTGAGGGAACAGGTGTTAGTTGGACAAGAAGGTTGAGTGGTTGTATGAGCAAAATAGAAAGC